CTAAAAATAATACAGGCTTGGCAAAAAACCAGATCATTTATATATCTACAATTATCTCTCTCACTGTATGTGGCATTTGATGCCATGGGACTGCTGATGCACTTTTCAAAGGGGTCTAGCCCCTGACCTACTGTTTTATTGAGGTCAATAGAAATATTCCCAAGAACCTCTAAGACAGAAAAATTAAATTTGAAAAATCTGCATTTCAAAGTAAACAGCCATACCATTTTGATACATTTACATCCATGGGATGATTAACTCTGCAATATGAACATATTAAAAAGCATTTTGGATATGAAATTATGCCACAGTGTGTTGGTAACTTGACAGCACCAGCATTGATATCACATTATAGAATTTGCCTTTTCATAGTAGTGCTCATCAGAAGAGCACTTCATGGAGTTGAGGTATTTTATCCCTCTTTGGCACAGGGTAAAAGATGCACATAAATATCTTAAAACTTGTTGATGCTGCTGCACTTTCCATTTCCACCTTACAATAGATACTGTTGCAGCTGTTAGCTTTGGAATTGGTCTTAACTTTAAAGAAGACATGGCTGCTTTGACTAAAGCAGTAGATCAGAAGAAGAAGGTGAAGGTTGCATCATTTATGTGTGTTATATGAAGTTTTGCTTCACGTTCATTTTCTTATGAGTCAGGATGCAATTTGAAGTCAGTATGGGAAGAGGTATGATCTTTTTCTGGTATTTAGCTCCTGAGTGATGAGAACACTTGGATAAATTCAATTTTTATGTTCAGGTCTATAAATAGCTACTTGAGGAAGAAAAGCTGTAACTGAATCGCCCCAGAGGGGAAAAAGAAAGAATATTCAGCTTTATTTTCACTTATGTGAAACTAAGATATATGTCTTCAATTAAAGTATCTATTTCCTCTAGTCCTAGTTCAGTGTAGATTGCAAGTACCCAAAGCCTTTGTCTGTTTTTTGAGTTAATACAAACATTATGCTGACGTTTGGGTGAAATTTATTTTAGGGAGGAGTTTCATCACAAGACAAAGGCCAGAGCAGGTCTCTTGCAACTTGTGAACCTGACTCAAATTTTCTCTCTGAAAAATTCTTGTGATCTCAAAACTTCTCTACTTTAAAGGAAAGGAGGAGTATCAGACACCTTATTGCACCTGCATCGTGGTTAAAAACTAAACTAATAAAATAGCTAGCACCACAATATGCATGAAGTTCTATGAAAGCTGACCCACTCATAAAAATTAGTCTCAATTCAAAACCTTTCCTTATTTTGCTAACTTGCCTTTGAAAAATGGTTTTATCCCTACCCCACTTCATGGTGAGAAACCAGTTGCTTTAAAATTATTTGAGGAAGTCTTTGTGTGAGTTAAACACAATCTGTACCTTTAGAAAGAGGGTGCTGAGTAAAGACTAGGCTTGGATAGAAGGGGCAGGATTGAAGTGGGAGAGCCTCTGTCTTTGAGGCACTGTGTGAAGCAGCTACCTTCATCACTCCATCACCCCATCGCTCCTGGATAGGTCACACTGCTTCCCAAACAACGCTCCCCTACTCCGCTGAGTATGGGGAAAATGAGGCCTGGATTTGCCTTGAAGAAATGATTCTAAAAAATTAGATTTTTAGCACTGTGTGTCTGTATTTGTTAGGACCAACACCACTCATTCAGCTTTTTCCTTTTGCGAGATGCTCCTGTAGAGTACAAAACCTGCACTGCTGACTGACGGCACTGTTGGAATGAGCCGGAGGAAATTCAAACCTTTGGTCATTTTTCTTTTCCAAGGAGATAACTAGGGGGGCTTGCTTTCCCTGCAGAAGGCTGTACTGCATGTTCTGTGCTTCACAGTAAGATTTTGCAACCTTCTCAGACCCGCTTGCCAGCAGGCTGACTGAGCATGCCAAGTAATCTGAGTTTTGGGAATGGCAAACCGCTGGAATGCTGGGTACACTCAGTGAGAAGCCAGCATGAATAATGCATCGCTGCTAAGTGGGGAAAGCACTCAGTCCCTTTGTGCTCTGCTTGTGTGGTGCGATAAACCTGCAGTGGGCAGTATCTCAAATATGCACATTGACTTGCAGCATGAATGGGAAAGGATGGCAGATGGGCAGGGGTGCTAATAGCTCAGAGAATTCAAAGGAGTTTAATTAACAAGAATGGAACAAGATATTTAGAAAAACCCTCTTCCTAATTCCCCCTCCCTTTTCCATACCTAGACACACTAAGCCTGTCGAATATAGAGTAACACAGGGTTTACTGAATTTACAGAGGAAAAAACAGAGGCCAAAAGATAGGGATTTCCCCCGCAGAGAATTTACCTTCCCTTGGCATTTCTATCAGTGGCTACACAGACTAGCTCAAGGCTGTGTGCTGGATGCTGCAGCTGGAAAGTTACAATTGGTCAGGCCCTTTAGTGCCCTGGGATCTGACATCTCACCTGCATTCAGCACAGACATTTGCAAACTACCTTCTCCTTTGCTCCAAACTGCTGGGTCAGTACAAACACTGCCCATGGAGAGGTTATGATTAATTAAATGTAAATCTTATACAAAGTTTACATATATATTCCAGTTTTTCCAAATAGTCCTGATGATAAATTTGCATACATATGCAACATCTGACACCCCTCGCCTCACATTCCAGATTGGAAGTGCACAAATGGGACCAAAACAGGTACAGCTGATTCATTTACAAATTTGAAATGTGCCCATGTTTAAAAATGAGAATTAGCTTCCTTATCCAAGATAAAAGTTCCTGGTGGAAGAAGGCTGAATATTCCAGAAAAAACTATATTCATTTGAAATGAAAATATGTAACATTTTCACATCACTTCCCTATATATTCAGCTGCCTGGATATGGGTTGTCCTCTCTCAAACTGACTGTGCAGAGGTACCAACATTTGCTGGTCTTAGAGTTCTTATGTTGGCTCTGTCAAAAAAAACAAAAAAAACAAAACAACAACTATAAAAAAAACCAGAAACAAACGAAAACAAAAAAAACCAAATCCGAAAACCCCCAAACAAACAGCCTCCCCAACCATATTTCCAGTCCTTGAGCTTCTTTCAGAACTAAGCTTTAAGTTCAAAGGAAGCAAATTCTTGTCCTTTAGTCCCACTTCTGGAAGCATTCATCCGGTGTCAGAAGAATGGACACACTCAGTAATTTGTAGTCCGTGATTTTTGCAGGGATCAGTGGTTAGAATTTGGAGTAGAGCTCACTGTGCTAAACATAGCTTTCTCAAGTGTTTTTCTTTATAACATTCTAGTATGGATTTCAATTTGGTTTAGATTACCTTCTCCAGTGAGCTCTGATTCTTCCCTTCGTTTCACTGAGTATCTTTGCATGAGCGCACCTGTGGTTAAATTTGCCCTTTCTTCAGCTCAATTGTTGTTTGTTTTCACCTTCCAAATGCAAGAATCTATATTGCAGTCACCTCTTAGCCTAAACACCCAGAGTTCTGGTTTCATGGAGGTTGTAGTGTTGCAAGAAACTTCAGTTGAACAAAATTAACAAAGTAGCCTATTTTTTAATAGCTTCAATTGCAAGGTAAGAGCCCATACAGAGAGCAGTAATGGGATGTAACTTGCTGGGGTTTAGCTACCAAAGATCTTTGTCACAATCTCCAATGTTCTAACATTTAGATGGCCAAAATCAAATGTTGGTTAAGCCTGAATTTTAAACTAACTAAAAATCTGAGAAATAAATGTTTAGAGACATGCCAAGCACTCACTGGGCTTAGTAAGATTTATGGCAGCATGTACCATCAGCATTGCTTTTTCTGTTGAGACAAAATAAATGCTCCTCTGCAGAAAGCTGGTTATTAGTAATCAAGTTCAGCATATGTAATTTGGTCTGCCTCAAAAAAAGTCAAAAGACATTGCACCTTTCCTAGCTGCAAATATTAAGTGTCCTGGTTTGACAACCTGTGCTTCATGATGTAGTTAAAAAACCAATTATCACAAATGCTCATACTTATCATGTGCTGCAGGATCGAGAAACAGATAAGCAGGTTCCGAGGATGGTTACCCAGAAAGCCAATGAAACTGGATAAGGAAACACTGCCAGATCTGGAGGAGAATGACTGCTATACTGCTCCATTCAGCCAACAAAGGATCCATCAGTGAGTATTCTATCATATCTCAGCTGCAAGGTGAAAACTTTTCCTTCTGGATTCACCTTGGAAAAATTGATTTCTTTGTTCATGTCTTAAGGACCAGTGTCTTCATGTTAGTCCTTTTTCACTAAGAGGGAGAGATAGCAAATCTACATTTCTATTAATTAAAGGTCCAGGTCAAAGCTAAGGAAATCAATGGGGAAGTTCCTTTTAATTCACTGGAATTTCAATTACATCCTTAAAGAGGTCAAATGGCTATTTTCTCTCAGGTCAGAATTGTAGTTGTTCTTTTTCACTATAAGATGTGATTTGAACTTTTCTCAGCATTCCTTTTCTTTAGCACAATCAAAACTAGTCCTTCATCACTGATGGTTGAACTACTGATACTTGCATTTCATTCCTAGTTATGACTGTAGAACAAACAAAACTCTAAAGAAAACAGACAAGGTCAATTTGATTGCATTTCTCTTTCAATATTATGGAAGCAAAACTTCTTGCAAAAAGGCAGTGTTTAGACAGTTTTTAGACCTAGCAGTGGCCCTTTTCTGCCAATAGCACCAGAGTTGCACAAATGTCAGAGAAATCATTTGGGTACAAAAAGCCTTTATTCACTTGCAAAATGCAGAGCAGAAAAAGCCCCAGATAACATTCACAACTCATATGGAATTTAAGGAGTGTCAAATTTTGGATGTCTTAAGGGTAGTTATGATGTTTGTTGATAGGAGAAACAGTCATTGACTGAGAGCAAAACCACAAAGATTAGGCAGCACTGTTGAAGACACTAAAAGAAGACACAGAATGAATTAATTACAGGTTGCTCAAAATTTTGAAATATGTGGTTTTATTCAGGGAGAAGCCAGGTTGATAAAGTTCTGAAGTGCCTCATTTTGAATGAATAGTTTTTCGGGGATTTGAGTGACTAGCTGCAATAAAAACCAGTAAAGTAAACCTCTGCCACAAATGGCACCTTTCCAAATACAGCACAAAAACAGGAACAGGTGCAAAACTCCAGGGAAATTTCAATAGAAGTCTGTTTGATACAGAGATGGGTCTGTTATTGTGCCCTGCAAGAGGAAGAGTAGGTGCAAATTAACTTGAGAATAGACCAGTGATACTAAAAAAATAATAAATTGGGATGTCAGCATTAATGTTTTTATTACCAGTAATATTAAGTGCTAGCTTCCCTTAAAATTACTGCACTTAGGAAAGGGGTTGGTGGTTTTTTTTGAGAGATTTTTTTTTGTGGCTGAAAGGGGAATTGACATATATGAACTAGATTTATTTTTTTCATTCTTTTGCCTTGCTCATGTTCATGTTGGTAAATTGGCAGGAGAGTTTATTAAGTAGTGTTAGTTTCATTGACACTCCTGCTGTTGTTTGGCGCTTCTCTTCAGACTTCAGTCTGAATCATTGCAGACATGGAAACTTTACTGCCTGACATTTTCTGCTCAGCTTTCTGTGAATAGTCTGCCTTACCTTTTGTGTGGGGGCTTATAAAATGTTGGCTGAGCTGGTCTCCTTCTCACAAAAGATGCTGGCTCTGACAGCAGTGGTGTTCCTATCGTTCTCCAGCCTGCTTCCTGAGTTGGGCTTTTTTTCACTAAAATTTTGAAATACAGTTTGAGTTGTTCAATATTTTTCTTGTGAGTTGCATGCAATTATTTCAATTTTTTAATTCAGAGACCCACAATATTGTTTTAGGAATGTGAAGATAAATAATCACTGAAATTCTTGAGATGCTGAAAAGAAGAATTCCCATCTACAGTAATGCTATGATAATTTAGCTTTTATTTTGTCAGTGGTAAGAAAAGTCCATTCATTTTGATATTTGGGACAGTTAAGGTTTTGCTAGAGCACTCTCACCATACCATATTACCAATACAATGTAATTATACTGGAGGCTACAAAATTGTCATGGGTAGTTACCTGTGGAGTTCAGTCCTCCACAAGCACATCATCCTATAGAAGAACAGTGACAATCTCTTTCCTGCTCTTGGGCTTTTAGCTGTGACTCTTCCTCCTCTTCCACCACATAGTTGTGCCAAAACTGATTCAGAGAAAACAGGTACAGGACAAGAGGAGTCCCAGTACTGCACCAGTGCTCAGCTGGCTGACCTCAGTGTTGTTTAAAGCTTCATCGAACATATGGCCATTTTTTGAGCAAAGAAAATGTTTGTAACTCATTCAGTCCTTGAAGTCCTCAGAGAATGAAGAATAAATGCAAGGCTTTTAGTCCTTTTGCAGTGTATTAAGGTGGTAGCTGAAAAATGCCACTAGTGTCTGCTTTTTGTCAGAACTTCTGTACAGATTATGAATTTTAAGTTTATAGTAGAAGCCATTAGATTTTCCTGCAAATCTAGAATCCTAAGTGAGAAGAAGAGGTGAGTGGGAAGTACATTCAAACTGTTCTTTGGGCAATACCCACAGGAGCCCAAAATATTTAATCAGTCTTTTAATTACACTAATGAGGATTTTTCTGGCTATTGTACAAGTATTTCTGGAAAGCCAGATATGTACTTTTGGCAGTTGAAAATATTCCAGATTTGTGTGTTGCCATAAATCATTGTTTATCCATGACATGCTTAATGACCATGAAGTAAATCACTCACAACAATCTTGGATGCATAAAATTCCATATCCTTAGTTTTCAAATAAGATCTCCACGGTCTTACAGTAGATTTTGCCATATTCCCTACCTGGATGCTGCCAAATTCTTCCTTTTTTCCCGGTTTTATGTGCTTTTTGTTTTCTAAAATATTATGCCTTAAATATTTATATGAGCTTCGCTGCATTTGACTTTGTCCAAATATTGCGATTTGGGTCTAAAATTGCTTATTTTTTCCTTTCTTCTTAGCTTCAGATGCTTTTCATGTCATTAAAGAACAGGCAGTTTATCTTTTGGGATCTAGCCACAGTTTCCAAATAAAGGGCTCCAGTCTGACGCAGATTCTATAACATGATCTGAGTAGAGACTTCATTTGTAATATTTTTTTTTAAAAGCTTGGAAAGATGACAATTGACAATACTTACAATTCAATGTCTGGGGAGGAAATTAATTAAGAAAAAACCTGACCAGACCTTATTTCCATAGGAATTAGTATTTTTAAAATACTGATTTACATTGAGTGTGGAAAATTTTAGTAGATCATATCAATAGACTTTTTATTTCTTGCATTTTTCTTTCCCATTGAGAAGGAAAAAAGCCAGATGTGGAGAAATTCAGCTTTCAAAAAAAAAAGTTTGTTTGAAGAGGCACAGCTAGCCATCTGTCCTTCCTCCAAAACAGGCAAAGAAGAAAACACAAGAATGACATTTGCGAGATGTGCCTGTAACTTTTGCAGCATGGCTCAGGTTTTCTATCGAAGGAATTATGGCCTTCTTCATAGGGTATATCACAAAATTGTTAGTACAAGAGAAGATCAAAATTCATCTTATTTCTTTAGTAATAGAAAATATCTTTTTGGAGGAAAGAAGTTCCGCAAAATGCTTTTTCTTCTTTTTAATTGTGTGGAATACAAAATGATAATTTTCAAGATAGGCTTCTGAGTAGTGTCTCTTTTCTGCAACCACAGCTTGGAGAAGGCCATGTTTACACCAAAGTATTTCTTCTGAAAATTATCAGCTACAAGAATGTGCAATATGTGGAAAATGTTTTACCATTAGACACACTTAGTTGTTCTTCTACTACATCTTAGCTATTTCATGTAGTCAGCTGCTAGTCACTTGGGAACAGTAACACTAGCAATTAGCTGCAATTTTTAAGACAACTGTACACTAGCTAGCAAAATATGTTAATTGCTGTTTAGAGATTTTGAACTCTATACCAGGAGCTATTTTCCTCTTTGTTTTTTTCTTTCAAAAGCGATAAATTCTCTGATTAAATATTAATCTAATATATAATTGAATAACCACTTAAAATAAATATTTATTACTTAGTGAAAAAAAAAAAAAAGATTAAAAATTTACTCAGTTAGGAGGACTAAGATAGCAACTTGATTAATTAGGCAAAAATGACCCTGCATACCAGAGGTTAATGGAGTTCTTCTCATTTGTATTATGTCCCCCTGTGGTACATGAGTCTTGTATTTTCTCCACATTTCCAAGATATGTGTCTCTCAGGGTGGAGATAGTTTTCAAGCTTTTTCTGATGTTCAGATTGATCTTAACAAACCCCATCTCTACCAAGATGATCTGTGCCCATGTTCTCTTGAGCCTCCTTTCCCCAAAATCATGGATAGATCAGGGAGCTGCTGCAACTGGAGACATGGCACAGGGCTGCATGGACACTTACTAGTTTTGAACCAGGATGGTCATTCTGGTGTTTAAATACATCTACAGTATAATAACTACACATTTTTAAATGGCTTTTTATAAATGAGGAATCATGGTTTTGTACATCCAGCTCTCTCTCAAACAAATCCTTGTGCTACCAAATTTGGACATGCCCTGCAACAGGTTTTTTTAAATTCCCTCTGATTCTGGAAGTTTTGATTGCCTGACAAATAGAACAAAACAGAGCATCTCTGAAAAATACAAAAAGCTCCTTCTACCTCAGGTGAATATTTCTGAGTGAACTAATTTAAATTAAGAAGTGATCTGGGGGAAGGGCAGAGGAAGGTGGAGAAGAGATTCAGCACTTCCATGACTTTCTGTTTTACTTCGGCAGTTTTGAGGTCATGGTGCCAAATTGGAAACAGAGAGAGCCACTACAATATTCCTCATCCCAAAGTGACCCTGTTTTAGGCAAATGGTATGAAAACCCTCATTAATAAAAGGTCCTTTTACATAAACAGAACAGTCAGCTGCAGCCTTAAAAGTCAAGCAAAAAGAAAATTAGCAGGTGCTAATAATACAGCTATTTTCAAACAAATAAAGTAGAGAAATGTGGGGTATTATTCTCAGGGGAATAGTGCAGGCTCACGTTGTTGCTGCTACTATAGCTGGTGATTTACTTTGTCTATGTTAAATGAGCTAAAAACTGGCTATTATCTCAGCCAGCAACAGGCTGGCTGTTGGCTCAGTGATTTACCTGGGAGTACAGAAGGTTGGGCATTTCTCCTGTGCTAAAGAATACACTGCTCACACAGTGATCACTACTTCCAAAAACATCTGTGCTCTTGGTTTGTACTGCTTCCAGCAGAAGGTAATTTTAGATATGGAGAGTGCCAGATGTCAAGTGTTTCAGTGTCTGTGGATCCCACAGTGCAAAGATACACACGGATCTGTGCACGCGTCCATCCTTCATACCTGTGTCACCGGACCACAGGAGTTCAGATTGCGGCTTGTTTATCTTGCCAGTAAAGCAGAAAATAGCCTTTTCCTGCCTTTTGCTTTCCCAAAATATATAAATTAAAATAAAGCAAGAAAAGTGAACCCACTTTTTTTCAAATATGTATTCAAAGATTCAAGAGCTCTGTTTACCCTTTAAGGGTTTGTACAGCCTGCAAAATTAACAAAGAGAACGTACGAGCAGGAATTCATAGGAAATTTTTTCTTGATAGAATTTGCACCAGTCTGAGGCCTTTCTTTAGACAACAGTTAGCTTTGCTGTGCTTTGCTTTTATCCACAGAGAGATAGTTTGAAATTTCCAGTTAACAGTTTAGTTAAGAAGGCTACAAATATAGTTTGAAAGCAATTAACCTCCACTGACTCTTCATGTCTCTTACAGCATGAGTGTAAGAGCAGTATTTCCAGAATGACATTTTTGAAAGGAGTTTTAATTAAGGATCAGCTCTGGAACCTTTCCTTCCAAAAGTACTCCCATTATCTTTTTTGGGATTTTCCTTTTGAATAAGGACAGCTCACACAAATAAGACTTACAGGAACAAATTAATGATTATAGCTGTTGTGGAACTAATCACTGGCTTTATCTACCTATACATTAACTTCACAGGTAATAAAAATTGTAATGTATTAATCCTTACTTATTTTTTGTCTTACAAATGAAGCAACAAAATGATCAAAACCTTCAGTGAAGAGTCTCATAAATCAAGTCTAAACCCTTATTGAGCCTGAAGACAAGCTGTACTGCTCTTATGAATATTCAAGTCCTTGTGCATGTTGAAAATCTAACAAGGGCAGCAGAAACAGAACAGCTGAGGAAATTCTTCCACCTAAAAGCAACAAAGATTAAAACACTTGCTAGGAAGCCTCTGCTTTATACAATTTATAGCTCAGTAATGTCTGATAAGTGTTTATCTGTACCTAGTTTGAGATTGTCTTCAGCTCTGGCCCCTGTGAACTGAAATTTGAAGTGTGAGATTCTTCACAGACTGAGAAAATCTTCTCTGAATTCTTCATTGGATGCTGTAGAATATGGAATAGCTTTGATGGTTATTCTGTGAATATGAATATACCACCCACATTCAGAAATAAGACAAACTGAAGCACAAAAATCTGGGGGGAAGAGACATCCATGAAGCATGGGAAGAAGGGGTGGTGGCTGAAAGGGGTAAGTCCTACACTGAGCTGCTTGATTCTCCCCTGACAAGAACAACTCCTGTGACTTTTGAGATAAATTGAAACCTCCCTGACATTGTCTCAATTTATTTCAATGTCTAATTGGGATGTTGTAACACAGATACAACCACCTAAGATATTCTCAACCTTTCAAGGCTTTCCACTCATGTCTGCCTCTTTTTGTTTCCTGTGCCAGAGGTCCCTGCCCCATTGATTATCGTGATGTTGCTTTTTCTGGATCTACAGACAATTTCACAGAAATGAAGCCAGAGTATCTGAGTTAAGCAAATTTTAAAAGCCCTATGATTTTTATGTTCAAAAATAAGTGAGGATTATTTTCTAAGTGTTACCACATGCAATTCTATCCCAAAATAATGATGTTGTTAGGGATGGTCCAGGACATCCAAACGAATTATTTTTGGCACCCCTTTTTCAGCTTTTCTGAACTCTAGCATCTCTTCTTCATCCATGTCTTCATGAATAACTTTGGAAAACACTCCAAGGGCATGTTTTGGGCCCACTCTTATCATGGTGAGTTCTTCCTCACCTCTTCCCCTCCTGCCCTTTTACTGGCACAAGATTGGGCAGGGCAGAATCTCTGCAGCTCATATTCTCACAGGTGTTTTAGGACTGCTTCAGCTCTTCTGGAATAGGCACAGTTCTTCAGGGAAGTTATTATGCTGAGGTGTTTGCATCTGCTTCACAGACACATCTGGTTATTTCTTCTTGCCCATATGAGAGCGAAAGCTATAATAACACAATTGCTAAATTTGCAAATGAATGCAAATCACTTAAGTGTTTCTTTAAACAAGTGATTATTTCTTTGTTTTCTAGAGTTTGCATAATTCTTGATTTTTGCCTTTTTGCATTCATGACTCATGAAAATAGAAATGCTTAAATACAACTATTAAACAAGTTCTTCAGAAAATGTGTTGAAATGGCTACCTCTAGTTGCAGTATGAGACAGTTGTGATAACAGATGGGCAAAATAACCTTGTATTACAAGGAAAATAAATTAAGGTGTTATCTGGTTCCATGTTGCAGTTTTCCCAGATGCGGTGATTTAATTCACAGTTGAATCCTACAAGAACTTGTAGCTAAATCAGAATGAAAATGAGTATGCTGTCTGTTTTGATATCTGTGAAGTTATCTTCACAGTTCTTTAACATCTAGTGCTGTCTGGGAGGTGAGGTCTTGGATAGGCAGACAGTAAAAGAAAATTAAATTAAAATTAATTAAAAACAAACAATTAAAGAAAATAAAACAAAATTAAAGAAAATAAACAGAAAATTAAAAATAGCAAAAATCTCTAATCATTCATTTCTGTTTTACTCCTGCCTTTTAAATTGTTTCTGCTGCTATGAAAACTGCCTAATACAGAGTTCCAGCTTCAGCTGAAAACAATTGTTCTAACTGATTCAGACTTTAATTTTTTATATATATAATTTTCAGCATATATAATTTTCAGCATTACCAGCATTAACTTCACATGATGACAGTATTTCTTTTTTTCTCAAAATGCTTTTAATAGTTATTATTTTACATACTGAGTACTTCAAACTGAATTTGAAAGCATTAAAGATACATCTTTATAGCCACATGTCTTTTTTTATCTGAAGAATAAGCTCAGTCTTACATACCTTTTGTGTAATAGCAGCTTGGAATGGGATGGTGGCCCAAAACTGTTCCTATACAGAAAAGGCATTTGCTGTTTGGTACCAGCCTACTGGTGGTCAGCCAATATCCATAAATCTAATTCCTTTTGGTAGATACTGTAGGGCATGGGTAGGACTTTGGGAATTGCAGGGAAATGGGAGGAAGCCAGAAGTACTGAGTGCAGTAGTGAATGGACTGTAGACACAGAAATGGCCTGTGAGTACCTGAAGTGGAGTGGCAAAGGAGACATGAGATAGTTACCTCTAGAAAATCAGGTTTCATTACTTCTGGCACACTTGGAGCAACTTGTCTTACCTTTAGGATGTTTTTTTTTTTTTAACTGTTGGCCTTTGAAGCAGAACATAAGGAACTTATGTACACACTGTATTGTATTGAAAATTCAGCTGAGAATTTTGATAATAAAGAGGGATCAGATGAGGTTCTCAAAGTCCAGAAGTTGGACTCCTCATTTTTCAAAATTACTGTGGAGGTGCAAAGCCGTATATTATTTCCCAGGGGTAAAGATTCATTCTGAAAAAAACAAATTTTCATTTGGGTAAAATTACCTGAGGGGAAAACTGAGCAGTGAATTTCACATCGTGCAAAAGAGAAGGTGACGTGAATCCACACCAAGCTCTTGATTATGATCTCATTTAAGGTCATATTTGTCTAGTGTGCTGTCCTACAGACTCATCTCTCTATGACACCTCTATGACCTTAACATTTTATTTACCAGTTTATTCAATTCTATAGCTCTTCAAAACCACAGATGAGGAAACCAATATTGCCTTCTATCCACAGGGTTTGTTGGGTTTTTTTAAATTTATTTGGACTCACCACAATTCTGTCTAACCTATTAAACACAGAACCTGTATTCATACTCAATAAGGGAATTCTGAGAGCTAATTTTCTACTGTATTTTAGCTTCCAGGACCAAAGGTAGGAGTATATGATACTTTGAATTTCTAACATAGTATTCTGTAATAGTTTTCAGTAAGAATGGCTTACCAAGTAGATATTTCCAACTGACTCATAATGGTACAGCATAACAAAAAAGCCTGGAACAGATGTGAACTTCTACTGCTGCACTTGTAAAGATATGCTTTTGCAAATTTTCGTGAAGAATTTCGTAGTTTTCAGTGAACTATCTAAAAGTGATGCTTATCATAATGAATACTTAAATATCTTCTATCTTTCTCCAGACTTCTCCATGTAATTCTTTGTTAGAGCATGAATACTGTTACTGACAGCATCTCACCTGGCTAATCATCTCTTAATCAAGTGTCTTTAATTCTCCTTGCACTTGCCTCGTGCTGTAGATTTTTAGAATGCTACAGAAATTAATGGAATTAAATATTTGCCTTAAACATGCTATTACATATTTCTGAGATGCCCTTGGTTTTTATTTTCATGTAGCTTCATAATACACAACAAAGATACTTTCTTCAATAATGCTACAAGAAGTAGAATTGTACACCATATCTTACAAAGACTGAAATATGAAGAAGGGAAAAACAAAATTGGTAAGTACTGAGCAATGTTCTTTTAAATGTGCATTTAAAAAAAGAAAGAAACCTTCCTGGCCTCATAACAGACTCTTTTCCTTCCTTTTTAACCACCTCAGTTTTGACTGTTTGCATCTCACCCACTGCCGTTTTATGGGCTTTGCCTGGAAGATGTGATCATCCCTGTAATATCAGTCAGCTTTCACAGGCACATGTCACCACATGGGATTTATCACCTCTGCAAGGGAAGAGGCTGATTTAAACATGAAATATGAACAGATTACAAGCAGTGGAGAAGCAGAGAGACTCATGCAGGAAAACCTTTATCCTTTCATAAAAATGTGCTTGGAAGGATGGCAAGATTTGTGCTGCTCTGAGCCTCTGCATCTCAGGCTACAGGGCTTCTCCCTGGATACCTATCCATACCTGAGGGAGATGGAAACTGTATCTCTGTTGTTGGTGTAAGTCAAAAGGGAGTTCACCATTGATGTCCTCAATGCAAAGAATGCTATGCATAGCTGTGGCTTCATTTTCAATTAGTGAGTGGAGGGGAAATTCGGAGTGTCCCACATGCAGGTCCAGGAGAGCAGTCAGTGACAGAGGAGGGACAGAACGTGAAAGAGTGGCCGCCTTCTGCCCAGTCATACAGAGCACATACTGCTCGAGTACCACACAGAGACAAATGTAGAGACAAGCTCCATAAAACTCTGCAGTCTATTTCATTTCCCTGCTGTTTAAACCTCACCTTTCCTGAAGAGGAAGAGAAATATCCCAGAACTTCACTTTTTTCTTTCTTTCTCAGCTGCTGGGATGAGGGCAGCAATAGCCCTGAGCAAAGGTGATGCTGCATCTAGCCCAAACACCAGCAATCCCTGCCTACCTCAAGATCCCAATTTCCCCTCACATATCAATTTGTGCTGTACCTATAAAGAACAACACAACCTTGCATTGATCACTGGGCAGTGTAAAGCCCAGCTCAGCTGTACAAGTTTTACTTTTCTGACAGCGACACTGGAAGAAAGCATATTCTGCCAGGCAGATACTGATGTTACTACTGAAAGTGTTATTCATGTTGACTTAATACTTCTCACTGCTGTGTTCTTGCTGCTCTCTGTCCCCTGTGAATGAGGAAAGGAATCAAGACTCTATGCCTTTTGGTCAATAGGGTTCAAATACCTCCAGGTTCTTAGTGTGGATGTTTTATTTTGCATTTCCTGGTAACAGTTCAGTCCTATTTTGATGACTTTTCAAGAGAAAAGCACCAATATCTCAGCAGCATTATTTCTCAAGGTTCTCATTAAAGAGGGACAAGGCCTGAGTGAGTGGGTTGTATGGTTACTTCTTTGTGCCACATAGGAATGATTTTGGTTCATGTTTCTGGTTTTCTTTCTGGTCTTGTACTGCTGCAGCTTGCCTTGTTCCTTTCTGTCTGTCCAGCAACTTTCATAAGACATAAGTTGAACACATTTTAGAAAATTGTTATCATATGGAAATTAAGAGTTTCTGTTGTTTTATTCATCTGAAATTCAAAAGTGTCAAGACCTTCCCTGAAGTTTTTAGCTCCCAAGATATGCAGTCTTTCATCCAAATAGATTTGTTAGACCATATTTTATAAGGTTGAACTATAAACCTGGTGTGAGGCCTTCAATTGCACTGAAGTTACATT